TGTATCAGTACTTGTATCTGTGAGGACTTGGACCAGTATCAGTACTTGTATCTGTGAGGACTTGGGAGGTATCAGTACTTGTATCTGTGAGGACTTGGGAGGTATCAGTACTTGTATCTGTGAGGACTTGGACCAGTATCAGTACTTGTATCTGTGAGGACTTGGAATGTATCAGTACTTGTATCTGTGAGGACTTGGACCAGTATCAGTACTTGTATCTGTGAGGACTTGGAATGTATCAGTACTTGTATCTGTGAGGACTTGGACCAGTATCAGTACTTGTATCTGTGAGGACTTGGGAGGTATCAGTACTTGTATCTGTGAGGACTTGGGAGGTATCAGTACTTGTATCTGTGAGGACTTGGACCAGTATCAGTACTTGTATCTGTGAGGACTTTCACTTTCTGTGAGCCGATCACTTTCAGGACAAGAGCAATCTGTATCTCATCAGACATCAAAGCCTTCCTTTCCCGACCTCCACAGAGGAGGCTCCCCACCCCCATCGTCTTCTTCTTCTGGATCCACACACTTACATGTTGTTTCCTCTGGAGCCTTGTGAATGGAGATCAGATCTTGGTAGTCAGTAGACATCGCCTGAGAAGGGGGAATGGAAGACGGTTACGTAGCTGAAAAAAAGGAACATGGTCACCGAGTTCAATTTAAAGATAAAAACCCTTCCATCCCCCAGAACCCAAAACCCACCATAAAACCATTCTCATCTTCTCTAAAGTATAAAGTCTGCAACTTCCGGATCCACGAAGGTGACCAAACTCTTCATATGAGGTCTATGTGTCTGTATTAAACCCTCACGGAGGTTCCAGTGCTGGGTCATAGATCATTATTCAATGGTTGTATCACCGAGCAGCTTAGAACCTCTGGAGGCCTCTGGAGACCTGGGATCACGTGTGGTCACCTGTGGGAGGTCTGTTCTTGAATGATATCATGACAGGTCTGGTACATATCCAAATTCAAATAATGTGAGTTGCCGTTTGGACTTATTTAGATCATTTCTGATGTATTTGTGGCTGGTATTGATGTTCTTACATATGGACATGGAAGACCTTCCTCGTATATCTCCTGATGAAGCCCATCTTGTGGACCCGGGGAGAGCATTGCGCAATCTTCCCATCATACCACAGGTCTGGTTATGATATAAGAAGGTCTGCGGTGATACTCCCGGTGCAGTGCAGGGAGCTGAACAATGGTCTATACTCTCATCAGGCCCGGATTCCCCACAAGGCCAGGCCTCGGGGCGGCAGGGCGCAGAGGGGCGGCCGCGGCACCAGGGACATAAAGTTCCAGGCGCCGGGCGGTAAGTTGCCTTCTACATTTAGTATGTGATAGCAATAAAGTTAAGTGAAAAAAAATTTAAAAATAATAAGAAATAATAGTTAAATAAAATAAAAAGGTGATTAAAAAGTAAAAAATTGTCTGAAAAAATAATTATAAAAAATAAATAAACAATAAGAAAAAAATTATAGAAAATGTAAAAAAAAAGGAAAAAAAGAAATAAAAATAAAAAAGTGATAAAAACATTTTTTTAAAATAAAGAAACAATAAAAAAAAATAAAACTAACCCTGCCGCCCCTGCCATCCGGTTGCCATTCCCCGTTGATGGGGGACGTGGTGAGTTTGGTGAACGCCGGGGAAAGAGAAGGTCTCTAATGCCGGCTGGAGAGGGAAGTCCATGTCCATGGCGTGACCTCTCTCCTGGTCTACGGGGGGACTGCTAGGGACCGGCACTGAACCTGTGAGGAGAGGCCTGAGCTCTGCGCCACTTTGCTGACGCTGAGGGCTCCTGTAGGGGGATTTGTGGCCCCAACACCGGCAGACTGTCTATAGACCTCAATGGCCGGGGCATAGATAGGACTTTCTATCTACATACATGTCATGTAGTCGCCCTGTCATACGTGTCTGTGATTGTGTGTGGGTCTCATGTGTTGCAGAGCTCGTATTGTCGGCGCTATTTGCTGTCTGTACTTTTCCCTGCCGGGATTTGTCTCTTATTAAAGCTTAGTAATAGTTATTGGCGTGCGGGGGAGATTTGGGGTCAGATTTGGGGGAGATTTGGGTGAGATTTGGGGGAGATTTGGGTCAGATTTGGGGCAGATTTGGGGGGAGTTTTGGGGGAGATTGTGGAGTGACTGCCCCTTTCCCACCAGTGACTGCACCTCTCCCACCTTGTGAAGCCGCCAGTGACTGTGGTGCAGTTGTGGAATGTTATCTCCTCTATGACAATGCAGAGTGTAGTGTGAGGGACTCTAGGGGGTCCCCCCTCTGCCCCCCATTAAGGTCTCCCCTTCCCCCCCCTCCCCCGTACCTTCCCAGCGATCTTCAGACCTCCTTTCTGGGCTGCTCTCAGTATTTACTAAAGGTTCTTATAACGGGATGCTGGGTCCCCCCTCCGCACTGATTTGTGGTGCGCGGGCCCCGTGACGTGCCCATTGCTGTCCCCTCTTATCTGGGAGGAAGCTCACTCAGCAAAAACACCGTTTCCTTCCAATCTTATCACCGGGACCTAGAAATTAACTCATCATGAGCAGCGACGTATGACACGACTCAATCACACATCTATTATAGGTTGTCACCCTCCGCCGGCAGATCTATAGAGCATTGGACACAACTAACCAATGCACACAATGACATTCTACCGGGGCCCCTCCCACCTGCACACAATGACATTCTACCGGGGCCCCTCCCACCTGCACACAATGACATTCTACCGGGGCCCCTCCCACCTGCACACAATGACATTCTACCGGGGCACCTCCCACCTGCACACAATGACATTCTACCGGGGCCCCTCCCACCTGCACACAATGACATTCTACCGAGGCCCCTCCCACCTGCACACAATTACATTCAACCGGGGCCCCTCCCACCTGCACACAATTACATTCTACCGGGGCCCCTCCCACCTGCACACAATGACATTCTATCGGGGCATTTATCTCCAGTGTCTATAGAACTACAAGTCCCAGCATTTATCTCCAGTGTCTATAGGACTACAAGTCCCAGCATTTATCTCCGGTGTCTATAGGACTACAAGTCCCAGCATTTATCTCCAGTGTCTATAGGACTACAAGTCCCAGCATTTATCTCCGGTGTCTATAGGACTACAAGTCCCAGCATTTATCTCCGGTGTCTATAGGACTACAAGTCCCAGCATTTATCTCCAGTGTCTATAGGACTACAAGTCCCAGCATTTATCTCCAGTGTCTATAGGACTACAAGTCCCAGCATTTATCTCCAGTGTCTATAGGACTACAGGTCCCAGCATCCACCCCCTGTGATAAATCAGTGTTATTCGGGTTTTCCCATTAGTTATTACTTTCCGCCAGTAGGGGGCGCTCACGAGTCGTCCATGTGCCTCATGCACCAGGCTTTGCTGTGACAGAGTACTGTGCTGGAGTGGCATCATGTGACCGAGGTTCTGTGGTGGCCAATCAGTGCAGTGAACATCATAGTGGGCGGGATTGGCTATATCAGAACCCGTGAGCATGCTCAGAACTGACGTAGTCTTGTTCCTGCCACTCCCTGGTTGGGAGGTTGGTTGTCAGTAGTGACGGGGTGGGGCGTGTTCGCAGCTCCACGTGCCGAGCCCGCCAGGAAGCTGACAGCGCCGCAGCGCCAATCACAGGTACTGAGACATGTTCCCGGTCCGCAGCTGCAGAGATCTGGATAATGTTGCAGTGCCTGTGATTGGCGCTGTCAGCTTCCTGGCGGGCTCGGCACGTGGAGCTGCGAACACGCCCGAGCCCATCACTAGTGGTCAGGTGCTGGGCGGCTGCCATGGCCTGAGGACTAGGCCCTCAAGGCCTAACCTCATGGAGTGCCATCGGAATTTGCTGGATCCACTCCAGGGACCTCACCCATGGGAACAGAGGTCATGGGGACACTGGAGTCACCACAGGAACCTCCACTGGTCCAGGCTGCAGTCTGTCCTGAAGCAGAGTACACACTGGAACCTCAGTGGGAATGGAGACACTTCTGGCCTATCGAGAGGGAGAAGATGGACCTTCCACTAGGACCTGTACACCTCACAAGACGTGACTCTACTCTATTACCAGCATTGTCGGGTGTTCCAGCATCTCTACCCATCACCATTAGTTTACAACGCATCCATGGACTCTCGTTCTACTGCAAGAGGACGCATGTGAGTAACTACACCCACCTGAGGAGGGACAAGGTCATCTCACCTGGGGGGTCCCACTTGTACACCACAGGGCCCAGTTGGGTGGCGGCACTGCCATTAAAATTGATTACGGCCCCTTTACTCCCACTTAGCGGAGGCGCAGGGTTTCTTGGTTACCCTCAGGTTGGATTGGTCATGTGTATGGCCGGCTGTAGACCATCTCCCGAGACTTGTGACCACCCTGCGTCCTATAGTAATGAGTTGTGTCAGGGTTCTGGTCATGTGATCACTGGTTGGTCCGCCTCTTCCAGGCATTGGGTAAGTATTTGGCTCTGCCAATGGTAGCGATTGGGATATTTCAGTCCAGTGATAATGAGAAGCCGAAACTGTAACCCTAAAATCCTGTGTACTGATAACACCACCAGAACCTCCCAGAATGCCCCCCCGTCAGATACCCCGAGCGCCTCCTCCCTTGTTTCCTGTGTACAATGTGCATACGATGAGAATTAGGAAGAAGATGAAGCCCGGTGAAGGGATGAGGGGCCCCTTCTAGTGGTGAGAAGCAGAACTGCACCTGAACTTCCACATGGAGTCTAAACTAAGGACACCAGAGGGTGGTCAGAGGCAATCCATCTCAGCTCCGCCCGGGGGCTTCCTGTCACTAATGAAGATGGAGGTGCGGGATCAGTCTGTTGATCCCACTTATCTCAGAGTGGACAATAGGATGGGGCGGTACACCCCACAGACGTGTGAGTAACATCCAACATGGCCGGAGTAGGTGACCTGTCTATGAGCAGCTTAAAACAACCTGGACTGAGAGAAATATGGAGGCCACCATGGCTGAGCTCTCCTTCTGAAAATGCCACTTGCATGGCCATCATGGTGATTCTGCTTAAAGGCCAACTTTAGGCTCTTTGCTCCTCCCCCGAGGAACTACCCCTCCCCCCTCAGCTGTATTTTATGCTTCTTTTTTATAATTACCTTTTTTGGATGTCTTCTCATTGGTCAAATTACATGATTGGTCCTCTTCCTAAGTGGGTGGTCCCAGATGATCCCAAGATCGGTGATGACATCAGCACCACTGACTGCATTTAAACATAATGAGTGTAGAGGGAAGGCGTGTTCAGGGGCGGGGTCATGACACCCTGCACTCACAGTCTTCCAGGTTAAGTGATGCTGGACGTCATTCAACCCCAGAAGACTGAGGAACTCTTGTGGTGGAGAGGAGGTACTGCGATGGACATGAAAGGTGAGTATTGCAGCCAAAACTTTCTTTGAGTAGAAATACTCTCAGAGAACTTTCACTGAAAACAAAAGTCTGGAAGTTCACTACAAGTGCACAGATGAAGGTTTCTGGGCCCACTTATCTGACCGGAGCAGACAGCTAACCGTTAAGGTCTGCAGTCCTCAGGATGACACAATATAGAACATGGAACATCCATGACTGTAACACAGAACTGGCATGTTGTACAATGCTGGATCACCCTCCTTGCCGGCACTTTCATGGGTTCAACCAAAGGGGCAGAAGATAGCAAAGATGCAAAAGACACCAACGAAGAGGAAGACACCAAAGAAGAGGAAGACACCAAGGAAGAGGAAGACACCAAAGAAGAGGAAGACACCAAGGAAGAGGAAGACATCAAGGAAGGAGAAGACACCAAGGAAGGAGGAAGACACCAAAGAAGAGGAAGACACCAAAGAAGAGGAAGACACCAAGGAAGAGGAAGACATCAAGGAAGGAGAAGACACCAAGGAAGGAGAAGACACCAAGGAAGCAGAAGACACCAAGGAAGCAGAAGACACCAAAGAAGCAGAAGACCCCAAGGAAGGAGAAGACACCAAGGAAGCAGAAGACACCAAGGAAGCAGAAGACACCAAGGAAGCAGAAGACACCAAAGAAGAGGAAGACACCAGGGAAGGAGAAGACATTAAGGAAGGAGAAGACACCAAGGAAGCAGAAGACACCAAAGAAGAGGAAGACACCAAGGAAGGAGAAGACACTAAGGAAGGAGAAGACTCCAAGGAAGGAGAAGACACCGAGGAAGAAGAAGACACCGAGGAAGCAGAAGACACAGAGGAAGGAGAAGACACCAAGGAAGCAGAAGACACCAAGGAAGCAGAAGACACCAAAGAAGAGGAAGACACCAGGGAAGGAGAAGACATTAAGGAAGGAGAAGACACCAAGGAAGCAGAAGACACCAAAGAAGAGGAAGACACCAAGGAAGGAGAAGACACGAAGGAAGGAGAAGACTCCAAGGAAGGAGAAGACACCGAGGAAGAAGAAGACACCGAGGAAGCAGAAGACACAGAGGAAGGAGAAGACACCAAGGAAGCAGAAGACACCAAGGAAGCAGAAGACACCAAAGAAGAGGAAGACACCAAGGAAGGAGAAGACACCAAGGAAGCAGAAGACACCAAAGAAGCAGAAGACACCAAAGAAGCAGAAGACACCAAGGAAGGAGAAGACACCAAGGAAGGAGAAGACACCAAGGAAGCAGAAGACACAAAGGAAGCAGAAGACACCAAGGAAGCAGAAGACACAAAAGAAGAGGAAGACACCAAGGAAGGATAAGACACCAAAGAAGAGGAAGACACCAAGGAAGCAGAAGACACCAAAGAAGAGGAAGACACCAAGGAAGGAGAAGACACCAAGGAAGGAGAAGACACCAAGGAAGGAGAAGACACCAAGGAAGGAGAAGACACCAAAGAAACCAAGGAAGCAGAAGACACCAAAGAAGAGGAAGACACCAAGGAAGGAGAAGACACCAAGGAAGGAGAAGACACCAAGGAAGGAGAAGACACCAAGGAAGGAGAAGACACCAAGGAAGCAGAAGACACCAAAGAAGCAGAAGACACCAAAGAAGCAGAAGACACCAAGGAAGGAGAAGACACCAAGGAAGGAGAAGACACCAAGGAAGGAGAAGACACCAAAGAAGAGGAAGACACCAAGGAAGGAGAAGACACCAAGGAAGGAGAAGACACCAAGGAAGCAGAAGACACCAAGGAAGCAGAAGACACCAAAGAAGAGGAAGACACCAAGGAAGGAGAAGACACCAAGGAAGGAGAAGACACCAAGGAAGGAGAAGACACCAAGGAAGGAGAAGACACCAAGGAAGGAGAAGACACCAAGGAAGGAGAAGACACCAAGGAAGGAGAAGACACCAAGGAAGGAGAAGACACCAAGGAAGGAGAAGACACCAAGGAAGGAGAAGACACCAAGGAAGGAGAAGACACCAAGGAAGGAGAAGACACCAAGGAAGGAGAAGACACCAAGGAAGGAGAAGACACCAAGGAAGGAGAAGACACCAAGGAAGGAGAAGACACCAAGGAAGGAGAAGACACCAAGGAAGGAGAAGACACCAAGGAAGGAGAAGACACCAAGGAAGGAGAAGACACCAAGGAAGGAGAAGACACCAAGGAAGGAGAAGACACCAAGGAAGGAGAAGACACCAAGGAAGGAGAAGACACCAAGGAAGGAGAAGACACCAAGGAAGGAGAAGACACCAAGGAAGGAGAAGACACCAAGGAAGGAGAAGACACCAAGGAAGGAGAAGACACCAAGGAAGGAGAAGACACCAAGGAAGGAGAAGACACCAAGGAAGGAGAAGACACCAAGGAAGGAGAAGACACCAAGGAAGGAGAAGACACCAAGGAAGGAGAAGACACCAAGGAAGGAGAAGACACCAAGGAAGGAGAAGACACCAAGGAAGGAGAAGACACCAAGGAAGGAGAAGACACCAAGGAAGGAGAAGACACCAAGGAAGGAGAAGACACCAAGGAAGGAGAAGACACCAAGGAAGGAGAAGACACCAAGGAAGGAGAAGACACCAAGGAAGGAGAAGACACCAAGGAAGGAGAAGACACCAAGGAAGGAGAAGACACCAAGGAAGGAGAAGACACCAAGGAAGGAGAAGACACCAAGGAAGGAGAAGACACCAAGGAAGGAGAAGACACCAAGGAAGGAGAAGACACCAAGGAAGGAGAAGACACCAAGGAAGGAGAAGACACCAAGGAAGGAGAAGACACCAAGGAAGGAGAAGACACCAAGGAAGGAGAAGACACCAAGGAAGGAGAAGACACCAAGGAAGGAGAAGACACCAAGGAAGGAGAAGACACCAAGGAAGGAGAAGACACCAAGGAAGGAGAAGACACCAAGGAAGGAGAAGACACCAAGGAAGGAGAAGACACCAAGGAAGGAGAAGACACCAAGGAAGGAGAAGACACCAAGGAAGGAGAAGACACCAAGGAAGGAGAAGACACCAAGGAAGGAGAAGACACCAAGGAAGGAGAAGACACCAAGGAAGGAGAAGACACCAAGGAAGGAGAAGACACCAAGGAAGGAGAAGACACCAAGGAAGGAGAAGACACCAAGGAAGGAGAAGACACCAAGGAAGGAGAAGACACCAAGGAAGGAGAAGACACCAAGGAAGGAGAAGACACCAAGGAAGGAGAAGACACCAAGGAAGGAGAAGACACCAAGGAAGGAGAAGACACCAAGGAAGGAGAAGACACCAAGGAAGGAGAAGACACCAAGGAAGGAGAAGACACCAAGGAAGGAGAAGACACCAAGGAAGGAGAAGACACCAAGGAAGGAGAAGACACCAAGGAAGGAGAAGACACCAAGGAAGGAGAAGACACCAAGGAAGGAGAAGACACCAAGGAAGGAGAAGACACCAAGGAAGGAGAAGACACCAAGGAAGGAGAAGACACCAAGGAAGGAGAAGACACCAAGGAAGGAGAAGACACCAAGGAAGGAGAAGACACCAAGGAAGGAGAAGACACCAAGGAAGGAGAAGACACCAAGGAAGGAGAAGACACCAAGGAAGGAGAAGACACCAAGGAAGGAGAAGACACCAAGGAAGGAGAAGACACCAAGGAAGGAGAAGACACCAAGGAAGGAGAAGACACCAAGGAAGGAGAAGACACCAAGGAAGGAGAAGACACCAAGGAAGGAGAAGACACCAAGGAAGGAGAAGACACCAAGGAAGGAGAAGACACCAAGGAAGGAGAAGACACCAAGGAAGGAGAAGACACCAAGGAAGGAGAAGACACCAAGGAAGGAGAAGACACCAAGGAAGGAGAAGACACCAAGGAAGGAGAAGACACCAAGGAAGGAGAAGACACCAAGGAAGGAGAAGACACCAAGGAAGGAGAAGACACCAAGGAAGGAGAAGACACCAAGGAAGGAGAAGACACCAAGGAAGGAGAAGACACCAAGGAAGGAGAAGACACCAAGGAAGGAGAAGACACCAAGGAAGGAGAAGACACCAAGGAAGGAGAAGACACCAAGGAAGGAGAAGACACCAAGGAAGGAGAAGACACCAAGGAAGGAGAAGACACCAAGGAAGGAGAAGACACCAAGGAAGGAGAAGACACCAAGGAAGGAGAAGACACCAAGGAAGGAGAAGACACCAAGGAAGGAGAAGACACCAAGGAAGGAGAAGACACCAAGGAAGGAGAAGACACCAAGGAAGGAGAAGACACCAAGGAAGGAGAAGACACCAAGGAAGCAGAAGACACAAAGGAAGCAGAAGACACCAAGGAAGCAGAAGACACCAAAGAAGAGGAAGACACCAAGGAAGGAGAAGACACCAAGGAAGCAGAAGACACCAAAGAAGCAGAAGACACCAAAGAAGCAGAAGACACCAAGGAAGGAGAAGACACCAAGGAAGGAGAAGACACCAAGGAAGCAGAAGACACAAAGGAAGCAGAAGACACCAAGGAAGCAGAAGACACAAAAGAAGAGGAAGACACCAAGGAAGGATAAGACACCAAAGAAGAGGAAGACACCAAGGAAGCAGAAGACACCAAAGAAGAGGAAGACACCAAGGAAGGAGAAGACACCAAGGAAGGAGAAGACACCAAGGAAGGAGAAGACACCAAGGAAGGAGAAGACACCAAGGAAGGAGAAGACACCAAGGAAGGAGAAGACACCAA